TTGGGTTTGAATGATTCAATTCCTCAATCAAAAACACTCGTTTCATTTTTGACATCTCTTGAATGAACGATTCAATGAGAAATGTTTTTTTTAAGTCATTTGTCGCCATCTGGTGGGTAACAAATATAATCGATCCAATCTTTATTTGAAGTGTAAAGTTACTTTCAAAAGGTGACTGGTCATGAAGTGACACTTGAAGACTGCATTTTATAAATTAAATCACATGAAAACCTCAAACAGAAAAGGGCAAAGACCTTCTTTCACAGACCTCAAACAGAAAAGGGCAAAGCCTTCTTTAAAGTGAATTTCGTTTTATATTAATTTTGTCTTGATTTTAATCAATGTTTCATCAACCAATTGCCTGGATTTAATAAATAAGAAGTAAAAGCAGACAATTATAGATATTCACGACACATAATAGGCACCAGGGCATGAATTGGAGCGCATCTCATAAATATACCAAAACTCACCATAAGTAGCCTACTCCACAGACTTAAACATGAGCTACTTAAATTACATATTTCATTGCAGGGCAGGGCCAGGTAACAATGCTAGACCAATCAACAAACTTTAAATGAAAAATTACATGACTGACATATAATTGAAAAATAATCAAAAGTAAATGGGCGGGGCCCCTATTGGGCGGGACCCATGCGCTTGAGCCCAGTCAAGTCCAATGGTAAGTTTGTTCGGCTTTGTCACAAGTTTCAAATCAGAATAGATTTTTTGACATGTGCACACTGCACGAATATGCCACTGTTCGCGCGTAACTATTCTCCTCTAATGGTTCTGTATTTGTTTTAAACAACAGACTTATTATTTATCCGTCTCTGGTCATGATTTGGAGACGACGAGCATGAACCGTTTGCCGTTTATCACGCAGTAAAACCCCGCGCCCAAACGTCGTGTGTGGATGAGAATCTAAAACAAGCACTGGTGGGACGTTGTCCTGCTTCACTTCACAGACACGGAGTGAAATGAGATTTTTTAATAACTTTAATATTTAAGAACAAGTTTTAACCTGAATACAATATTCTCTGCAAATACATCATTTAATATATTTTTCATGCTTTAGCTTCGATTGGAACTATTTTCATTGATCGAGCAAAAAACACAAAGTGGATCATCTCCTTTCACAAAGACCTCATCTATATTTGAAAAATAAATCGAAAGAACTACTTACCAGAGACATAAACAACAAATCTCTTGCTTGTGATTTCTCTGCTGCTGATGATCTGTAGTTTATAATCTCCAGTGTGTTCAGTTCTCATGTCTGTGATGATCAGAGATCCAGTCTTCTCATCCAGCTTCAGTCTGTCTCTGAATCTCCCATCATCAGCAGCATCATCATGTGTTTTTAGAGTCCCTCCTCTGATTTCAGCGATGAGAATGTCTTGATATCCAAACCTCCACTGTATCAGATCATCTTTCTGTATTTCAGTTTCAGGGTTTATGATCAGATTCTTTCCCTCTTCCACTGATATCACCCTCGCTTCATTAGTGACAGCAGCAGATAGAAACAGAGAAACACAGAAATGTTGCCATCAGATCAAGAGTGTGAATGTGAATCACAGCCTGAAACTACTACAGAAATATCATTCAGATGGACATGATTTACAGTCTTCTCACACAGAAAATTCATATTACTGTCTCAGTTCCAGTTTGATGAACACTGATCTGAGAAGTGCTGATCTAAATAAAAGCTGAAGGAAATACTTGTGGACTTGTTTGCAATTTGACAAGCTGTAAAGCTGAAAATAAAGAGATTCAGATGAATATCCTTTCATGTCATGATCCTGTTCTGTCTCCATATTCAGAGCTGAAGATGCTAGATCACGACAATAGACATGGGCTACTAATTATGAAAAATGTAAAAAATGCAAAATAATGTGAGGGTTATGTTTAAGGGACAAAAAAAAAATACGCCAATGTAAAGTCCTCATAATGATTGTGCCACCACCGTGTGTGTGTGTGTGTGTGTGTGTGTGTGTGTGTGTGTGTGTGTGTACAGTATACGAGTCAAAAGTATAAACTGTCAGTGACATGCAAATAAAAACATGTAACTCTAATAACTTTAATATTTAAGAACAAGTTTTAACCTGAATACAATATTCTCTGCAAATACATCATTTAATATATTTTTTCATGCTTTAGCTTCGATTGGAACTATTTTCATTGATCGAGCAAAAAACACAAAGTGGATCATCTCCTTTCACAAAGACCTCATCTATATTTGAAAAATAAATCGAAAGAACTACTTACCAGAGACAAAAACATCAAATCTCTTGTTTGTGTTTCCTCTGCTGCTGATGATCTGTAGTTTATATTCTCCAGTGAGTTCAGTTATCATGTCTGTGATGATCAGAGATCCAGTCTTCTCATCCAGCTTCAGTCTGCCTCTGAATCTCCCATCAGCAGCATCATCATGTGTTTTTAGAGTCCCTCCTCTGATTTCAGCGATGAGAATGTCTTGATATCCAAACCTCCACTCTATCAGATCATCTTTCTGTATTTCAGTTTCAGGGTTTATGATCAGATTCTTTCCCTCTTTCACTGATATCACCCTCGCTTCATTAGTGACAGCAGCAGATAGAAACAGAGAAACACAGAAATGTTGTCATCAGATCAAGAGTGTGAATGTGAATCACAGCCTGAAACTACAGAAATATCATTCAGATGGACAAGATTTACAGTCTTCTCACACAGAAAATTCATATTACTGTCTCAGTTCCAGTTTGATGAACACTGATCTGAGAAGTGCTGATCTATATAAAAGCTGAAGGAAATACTTGTGGATGCAGGTCAGCAACAAAATGTTTTAGCTAAATTTGACAAACTGTAAAGCTAAATAAAATAAAGAGATTCAGATGAATATTCTTTCATGTCATGATTCTGGTCTGTCTCCATATTCAGAGCTGAAGATGCTAGATCACGACAATAGACATGGGCTACTAATTATAAAAAATGTAAAAAATGCAAAATAATGTGAGGGTTATGTTTAAGGGACAAAAAAAAAATACGCCAATGTAAAGTCCTCATAATAATAGTGCCACCACCGTGTGTGTGTGTGTGTGTGTGTGTGTGTGTGTGTGTGTGTGTGTACAGTATACGAGTCAAAAGTATAAACTGTCAGTGACATGCAAATAAAAACATATAACTCTAATAACTTTAATATTTAAGAACAAGTTTTAACCTGATTAAAATATTCTCTGCAAATACATCATTTAATATATTTTTTCATGCTTTAGCTTCGATTGGAACTATTTTCATTGATGGAGCAAAAAACACAAAGTGGATCATCTCCTTTCACAAAGACCTCATCTATATTTGAAAAATAAATCGAAAGAACTACTTACCAGAGACATAAACAACAAATCTCTTGTTTGTGTTTCCTCTGCTGCTGATGATCTGTAGTTTATAATTTCCAGTGTGTTCAGTTATCATGTCTGTGATGGTCAGAGATCCAGTCTTCTCATCCAGCTTCAGTCTGTCTCTGAATCTCCCACCAGCAGCATCATCATGTGTTTTTAGAGTCCCTCCTCTGATTTCAGCGATGAGAATGTCTCCAAACCTCCACTGTATCAGATCATCTTTCTGTATTTCAGTTTCAGGGTTTATGATCAGATTCTTTCCCTCTTTCACTGATATCACCCTCGCTTCATTAGTGACAGCAGCAGATAGAAACAGAGAAACACAGAAATGTTGTCATCAGATCAAGAGTGTGAATGTGAATCACAGCCTGAAACTACTACAGAAATATCATTCAGATGGACATGATTTACAGTCTTCTCACACAGAAAATTCATATTACTGTCTCAGTTCCAGTTTGATGAACACTGATCTGAGAAGTGCTGATCTAAATAAAAACTGAAGGAAATACTTGTGGACTTGTTTGCAATTTGACAAGCTGTAAAGCTGAAAATAAAGAGATTCAGATGAATATCCTTTCATGTTATGATCCTGTTCTGTCTCCATGTTCGGAGCTGAAGATGCTAGATCACGACAATAGACATGGGCTACTAATTATGAAAAATAAAAAATGCAAAACAAAAAATTATGTGAGGGTTATGTTTAGGGGACAGAAAAAACATTACGCCAATGGAAAGTCCTCAGTCTACGTTTATATGGACACAATCGGAATGAAATCAATACGGTTGATGAATCCGAACAAGGTGTTTACATGAATGATAAATAAAGTGATCGGGTTGATGTGCGCGTTTATATATGTCACAAGCAGGGCAGGACTTAGGGTGGGGGGGCCCTGGGCTTGAGTCACTTTCGGGACCTTCTATACATTACTTTAAATAGAACTAAATGATACATACACAAGCTAGGCCTATGTATTAGAGCTGCACAATTCTGGATAATTTGAGAATAAAAATAGAGATCACGATTCTACACAAACAACTTAACAAAATAATATAAATTATGTTAATTGCTGAAGTCTATTAAAAATGTTGAATTAATCTGAATTATATATTAAAAAAAACTTGGGTTTGAATGATTCAATTCCTCAATCAAAAACACTCGTTTCATTTTTGACATCTCTTGAATGAACGATTCAATGAGAAATGTTTTTTTAAGTCATTTGTCGCCATCTGGTGGCGTAACAATATAATCGATCCAATCTTTATTTGAAGTGTAAAGTTACTTTCAAAAGGTGACTGGTACCATAGACAGAGTTGTAAAAAAAACAAAAAAACAAAACACCAAATAATTTATTTATATGACCACTGATTGAAGCTTTAAAAAGTTTTTTCCAATAAATAAATAAATAATGATTAAAGTGACCATGTGTTTAATATGTACATGTATTTTGTCAGAATGAGAATAAAACACTTATTTAGCTGGAAAACATATTGAAAAACAAACAAATACCCTGCAAGTTGCAATCATAACAAATCATTTGTATTACATTTACGTATAAATAGCTAAATCTATGGATGTATAAATCTTTAAGAAAATGAAAAATAAATAAACTGTTCCTGGTATTTATGAGGAAAAAACGAAGTTACAGACGTGACAGTTCTCCTTTACTGATGCGAGCGCTCTGAAGTGACACTTAAGACTGCATTAAAACTTTCACAGACCTCAAACAGAAAAGGGCAAAGCCTTCTTTAAAGTGAATTTCGTTTTATATTAATTTTGTCTTGATTTTAATCAATGTTTCATCAACCAATTGCCTGGATTTAATAAATAAGAAGTAAAAGCAGACAATTATAGATATTCACGACACATAATAGGCACCAGGGCATGAATTGGAGCGCATCTCATAAATATACCAAAACTCACCATAAGTAGCCTACTCCACAGACTTAAACATGAGCTACTTAAATTACATATTTCATTGCAGGGCAGGGCCAGGTAACAATGCTAGACCAATCAACAAACTTTAAATGAAAAATTACATGACTGACATATAATTGAAAAATAATCAAAAGTAAATGGGCGGGGCCCCTATTGGGCGGGGCCCATGCGCTTGAGCCCAGTCAAGTCCAATGGTAAGTTTGTTCGGCTTTGTCACAAGATTCAAATCAGAATAGATTTTTTGACATGTGCACACTGCACGAATATGCCACTATTCGCGCGTAACTATTCTCCTCTAATGGTTCTGTATTTGTTTTAAACAACAGACTTATTATTTATCCGTCTCTGGTCATGATTTGGAGACGATGAGCATGAACCGTTTTGCCGTTTATCACGCAGTAAAACCCCGCGCCCAAAAGTCGTGTGTGGATGAGAATCTAAAACAAGCACTGGTGGGACGTTGTCCTGCTTCACTTCACAGACACGGAGTGAAATGAGATTTTTTTAAATAACGGAACACAAATTTATATGACACTTTATTCAACAGGAAGAACAGCTCGTTCCCTGCGTCATTCGTCATTACGCCATTGCAACGTCATTGCACATGCGCAGTCCTTTTAGTTTCGGTTTTCAATCCGATCAAGTGTTTACCTGTTCTCTCGATCGGATTACAATAGGAGTAAACTCCCCTTTCAATCCGATTGAAATTCCAGTCGGATCGAGCTCAATCGGATCGATTAAGGTGTTTACATGAACGTTTTTTAGTCCGATTGAGCCGTCAATCCAATTATAAGTAGTGATCGACCGATATATCGGCCGGCCGATATATCGGGCCGATATTTGAGGTTTTTACGTGTATCGGAATCGGCCGATACACCGCTGCGCGTTCGCCGATAGTTTTTTTTTTTCCCGCCGTTATTTATAGACAGGCGGCCACGGGCAGCTCCGTGCTGCTGGAGATGCTGCAGTTCACGTGCCCCGCCCTCCTCCACTAGCAGAGTGCAACCTGCTCTTCACGAGAATGGTAACTTAAACTTTCAAAGGATCTTTTAAATGTTTGACTCCTGAAATATTGTCAAACACTTTGAAAATGGAAACACGTCGCCCTATAACTGTTATGTGCTTGCAACTAAGCAAGTTTGTGGGTACAAATGGAAAACGCGAATGCCTCGTCTATAAAACTTAACTGCTTGCCATTGTATTAAGAAGCTGCAAATAGTTAAGGTGTAGGTTATCCGTTCAGTATGCATTAGGACTGTCTATGAATATTCTACATTCGAATATCTATCAATTTTGAAGGTGAAAATTAACATTTGAATGTGGAAAAACACGCCCGCGGTTGCAGACTAATAAACGTTACCACAACTGCACAGCTCGCTCGGAGCGCTCACTGTCGGTTCTATACTGTGAAACTTCAATCACTGAATGAAGCCTGCTATATTTAGGACAAGAGTCGCGACTCGCAACCTTAAATTGCTTGCACAAAACTCTTGTTTAGCACTCAACATTTGTTTGTTGTTCATTTAACCGACGCGCAGAGACCGTGAGGGCGAGAGAGAGAGAGAGTGCCTGAGCGAGTCCAGGGCGAGACAGAGTGAGCTCTGCGGTCTTGGCCATTAGTTGATTTACTTGCTTTTTAATACGTTGTCAAATATGAAAACTCAAATAAACCATCTAATACTAGTTATGTCTCTTTTTATTAATGTGTCCTGTTATTGATGTAATGCGCGTCAACAACAAAACGCGCAACGGGATGTTCGAATATGTTTTTTAGAGGGAATATGCAAACGCCATTTGAGCAATTTTGACAGCCCTAGTATGCATACGGTAACGAACTCTGGTCATAGGATTAAGGAATGCCAACGTTATTCTGTGCTTTTTGTGGGAGATTTATTCAGCGCTCACCTGGCTGAGGTTTGGGGCGTGTGGAGTTTGTCTCCCTCGCAATCGCAGTAATATTATAGACATGCTCATTTTATTTTATGTAGGAAAATTGAAACCATGCAGTACATAGTTCGTTTCTTTTAAAATGAAGTACAGTGTGCACTGTGCACTTTATTATGCTGGTTGCTACTCTGTGCAATAGTGTAATTATTTAATTTATGCTTAAATATTCATTTTCAGCACTGAACTTTTTTTGTTCTACTTCATGTTTTTCATATTTTTTAAATTGTTTATCTACTTGTTCTTGTTCTACCTCACATGTTTTTACTATTTGTTAAATATTAATTTTTGAAGTTAGTTAAATGTTACTTTTATTAAATTGAGACCTGTAACATTTGTTAACATCATGTTATTTTTAAGATGTAAATTGAGGGAGCAAAATGTATCGGCTCCAAATATCGGCTCAAGAAAATCGGCAGCCCGTATCGGTCATCGGCTAAGGCTGATGGGAAAAAAATCGGTATCGGTATCGGCACTAAAAAATCCATATCGGTCGATCCCTAATTATAAGGTCCATGTAAACGCAGATAATGATAGCGCCACCACCGTGTGTGTGTGTGTACAGTATACGAGTCAAAAGTATAAACTGTCAGTGACATGCAAATAAAAACATATAACTCTAATAACTTTAATATTTAAGAACAAGTTTTAACCTGAATAAAATATTCTCTGCAAATACATCATTTAATATATTTTTTCATGCTTTAGCTTCGATTGGAACTATTTTCATTGATCGAGCAAAAAACACAAAGTGGATCATCTCCTTTCACAAAGACCTCATCTATATTTGAAAAATAAATCGAAAGAACTACTTACCAGAGACAAAAACATCAAATCTCTTGTTTGTGTTTCCTCTGCTGCTGATGATCTGTAGTTTATATTTTCCAGTGTGTTCAGTTGTGATGTCTGTGATGACCAGAGATCCAGTCTTCTCATCCAGCTTCAGTCTGCCTCTGAATCTCCCACCAGCAGCATCATCATGTGTTTTTAGAGTCCCTCCTCTGATTTCAGCGATGAGAATGTCTCTAAACCTCCACTGTATCAGATCATCTTTCTGTATTTCAGTTTCAGGGTTTATGATCAGATTCTTTCCCTCTTCCACTGATATCTCCCTCTCTTCATTAGTGACAGCAGCAGATAGAAACAGAGAAACACAGAAATGTTGCCATCAGATCAAGAGTGTGAATGTGAATCACAGCCTGAAACTACTACAGAAATATCATTCAGATGGACATGATTTACAGTCTTCTCACACAGAAAATTCATATTACTGTCTCAGTTCCAGTTTGATGAACACTGATCTGAGAAGTGCTGATCTAAATAAAAGCTGAAGGAAATACTTGTGGACTTGTTTGCAATTTGACAAGCTGTAAAGCTGAAAATAAAGAGATTCAGATGAATATCCTTTCATGTCATGATCCTGTTCTGTCTCCATATTCTGAGCTGAAGATGCTAGATCACGACAATAGACATGGGCTACTAATTATGAAAAATAAAAAATGCAAAACAAAAAATTATGTGAGGGTTATGTTTAGGGGACAGAAAAAACATTACGCCAATGGAAAGTCCTCAGTCTACGTTTATATGGACACAATCGGAATGAAATCAATACGGTTGATGAATCCGAACAAGGTGTTTACATGAATGATAAATAAAGTGATCGGGTTGATGTGCGCGTTTATATATGTCACAAGCAGGGCAGGACTTAGGGTGGGGGGGGCCCTGGGCTTGAGTCACTTTCGGGATCTTCTATACATTACTTTAAATAGAACTAAATGATACATACACAAGCTAGGCCTATGTATTAGAGCTGCACAATTCTGGATAATTTGAGAATAAAAATAGAGATCACGATTCTACACAAACAACTTAACAAAATAATATAAATTATGTTAATTGCTGAAGTCTATTAAAAATGTTGAATTAATCTGAATTATATATTAAAAAAAACTTGGGTTTGAATGATTCAATTCCTCAATCAAAAACACTCGTTTCATTTTTGACATCTCTTGAATGAACGATTCAATGAGAAATGTTTTTTTAAGTCATTTGTCGCCATCTGGTGGCGTAACAATATAATCGATCCAATCTTTATTTGAAGTGTAAAGTTACTTTCAAAAGGTGACTGGTACCATAGACAGAGTTGTAAAAAAACAAAACACCAAATAATTTATTTATATGACCACTGATTGAAGCTTTAAAAAAGTTTTTTCCAATAAATAAATAAATAATGATTAAAGTGACCATGTGTTTAATATGTACATGTATTTTGTCAGAATGAGAATAAAACACTTATTTAGCTGGAAAACATATTGAAAAACAAACAAATACCCTGCAAGTTGCAATCATAACAAATCATTTGTATTACATTTACGTATAAATAGCTAAATCTATGGATGTATAAATCTTTAAGAAAATGAAAAATAAATAAACTGTTCCTGGTATTTATGAGGAAAAAACGAAGTTACAGACGTGACAGTTCTCCTTTACTGATGCGAGCGCTCTGAAGTGACACTTAAGACTGCATTAAAACTTTCACAGACCTCAAACAGAAAAGGGCAAAGCCTTCTTTAAAGTGAATTTCGTTTTATATTAATTTTGTCTTGATTTTAATCAATGTTTCATCAACCAATTGCCTGGATTTAATAAATAAGAAGTAAAAGCAGACAATTATAGATATTCACGACACATAATAGGCACCAGGGCATGAATTGGAGCGCATCTCATAAATATACCAAAACTCACCATAAGTAGCCTACTCCACAGACTTAAACATGAGCTACTTAAATTACATATTTCATTGCAGGGCAGGGCCAGGTAACAATGCTAGACCAATCAACAAACTTTAAATGAAAAATTACATGACTGACATATAATTGAAAAATAATCAAAAGTAAATGGGCGGGGCCCCTATTGGGCGGGGCCCATGCGCTTGAGCCCAGTCAAGTCCAATGGTAAGTTTGTTCGGCTTTGTCACAAGATTCAAATCAGAATAGATTTTTTGACATGTGCACACTGCACGAATATGCCACTGTTCGCGCGTAACTATTCTCCTCTAATGGTTCTGTATTTGTTTTAAACAACAGACTTATTATTTATCCGTCTCTGGTCATGATTTGGAGACGATGAGCATGAACCGTTTGCCGTTTATCACGCAGTAAAACCCCGCGCCCAAAAGTCGTGTGTGGATGAGAATCTAAAACAAGCACTGGTGGGACGTTGTCCTGCTTCACTTCACAGACATGGAGTGAAATGAGATTTTTTTAAATAACGGAACACAAATTTATATGACACTTTATTCAACAGGAAGAACAGCTCGTTCCCTGCGTCATTCGTCATTACGCCATTGCAACGTCATTGCACATGCGCAGTCCTTTTAGTTTCGGTTTTCAATCCGATCAAGTGTTTACCTGTTCTCTCGATCGGATTACAATAGGAGTAAACTCCCCTTTCAATCCGATTGAAATTCCAGTCGGATCGAGCTCAATCGGATTGATTAAGGCGTTTACATGAACGTTTTTTAGTCCGATTGAGCCGTCAATCCAATTATAAGGTCCATGTAAACGCAGACAATGATAGCGCCACCACCGTGTGTGTGTGTGTGTGTGTGTGTGTGTGTACAGTATACGAGTCAAAAGTATAAACTGTCAGTGACATGCAAATAAAAACATATAACTCTAATAACTTTAATATTTAAGAACAAGTTTTAACCTGAATAAAATATTCTCTGCAAATACATCATTTAATATATTTTTTCATGCTTTAGCTTCGATTGGAACTATTTTCATTGATCGAGCAAAAAACACAAAGTGGATCATCTCCTTTCACAAAGACCTCATCTATATTTGAAAAATAAATCGAAAGAACTACTTACCAGAGACAAAAACATCAAATCTCTTGTTTGTGTTTCCTCTGCTGCTGATGATCTGTAGTTTATATTCTCCAGTGTGTTGAGTTGTGATGTCTGTGATGGTCAGAGATCCAGTCTTCTCATCCAGCTTCAGTCTGCCTCTGAATCTCCCATCATCAGCATCATCATGTGTTTTTAGAGTCCCTCCTCTGATTTCAGCGATGAGAATGTCTCCAAACCTCCACTCTATCAGATCATCTTTCTGTATTTCAGTTTCAGGGTTTATGATCAGATTCTTTCCCTCTTTCACTGATATCCTCCTCGCTTCATTAGTGACAGCAGCAGATAGAAACAGAGAAACACAGAAATGTTGTCATCAGATCAAGAGTGTGAATGTGAATCACAGCCTGAAACTACTACAGAAATATCATTCAGATGGACATGATTTACAGTCTTCTCACACAGAAAATTCATATTACTGTCTCAGTTCCAGTTTGATGAACACTGATCTGAGAAGTGCTGATCTAAATAAAAGCTGAAGGAAATACTTGTGGACTTGTTTGCAATTTGACAAACTGTAAAGCTAAATAAAATAAAGAGATTCAGATGAATATTCTTTCATGTCATGATTCTGGTCTGTCTCCATGTTCGGAGCTGAAGATGCTAGATCACGACAATAGACATGGGCTACTAATTATGAAAAATAAAAAATGCAAAACAAAAAATTATGTCGGGGTTATGTTTAGGGGACAGAAAAAACATTACGCCAATGGAAAGTCCTCAGTCTACGTTTATATGGACACAATCGGAATGAAATCAATACGGTTGATGAATCCGAACAAGGTGTTTACATGAATGATAAATAAAGTGATCGGGTTGATGTGCGCGTTTATATATGTCACAAGCAGGGCAGGACTTAGGGTGGGGGGGGCCCTGGGCTTGAGTCACTTTCGGGACCTTCTATACATTACTTTAAATAGAACTAAATGATACATACACAAGCTAGGCCTATGTATTAGAGCTGCACAATTCTGGATAATTTGAGAATAAAAATAGAGATCACGATTCTACACAAACAACTTAACAAAATAATATAAATTATGTTAATTGCTGAAGTCTATTAAAAATGTTGAATTAATCTGAATTATATATTAAAAAAAACTTGGGTTTGAATGATTCAATTCCTCAATCAAAAACACTTTTTTCATTTTTGACATCTCTTGAATGAACGATTCAATGAGAAATGTTTTTTTTAGTCATTTGTCGCCATCTGGTGGCGTAACAATATAATCGATCCAATCTTTATTTGAAGTGTAAAGTTACTTTCAAAAGGTGACTGGTACCATAGACAGAGTTGTAAAAAAAACAAAAAAACAAAACACCAAATAATTTATTTATATGACCACTGATTGAAGCTTTAAAAAGTTTTTTTTCCAATAAATAAATAAATAATGATTAAAGTGACCATGTGTTTAATATGTACATGTATTTTGTCAGAATGAGAATAAAACACTTATTTAGCTGGAAAACATATTGAAAAACAAACAAATACCCTGCAAGTTGCAATCATAACAAATCATTTGTATTACATTTACGTATAAATAGCTAAATCTATGGATGTATAAATCTTTAAGAAAATGAAAAATAAATAAACTGTTCCTGGTATTTATGAGGAAAAAACGAAGTTACAGACGTGACAGTTCTCCTTTACTGATGCGAGCGCTCTGAAGTGACACTTAAGACTGCATTAAAACTTTCACAGACCTCAAACAGAAAAGGGCAAAGCCTTCTTTAAAGTGAATTTCGTTTTATATTAATTTTGTCTTGATTTTAATCAATGTTTCATCAACCAATTGCCTGGATTTAATAAATAAGAAGTAAAAGCAGACAATTATAGATATTCACGACACGTAATAGGCACCGGCGCATGAATTGGAGCGCATCTCATAAATATACCAAAACTCACCATAAGTAGCCTACTCCACAGACTTAAACATGAGCTACTTAAATTACATATTTCATTGCAGGGCAGGGCCAGGTAACAATGCTAGACCAATCAACAAACTTTAAATGAAAAATTACATGACTGACATATAATTGAAAAATAATCAAAAGTAAATGGGCGGGGCCCCTATTGGGCGGGGCCCATGCGCTTGAGCCCAGTCAAGTCCAATGGTAAGTTTGTTCGGCTTTGTCACAAGATTCAAATCAGAATAGATTTTTTGACATGTGCACACTGCACGAATATGCCACTGTTCGCGCGTAACTATTCTCCTCTAATGGTTCTGTATTTGTTTTAAACAACAGACTTATTATTTATCCGTCTCTGGTCATGATTTGGAGACGACGAGCATGAACCGTTTGCCGTTTATCACGCAGTAAAACCCCGCGCCCAAAAGTCGTGTGTGGATGAGAATCTAAAACAAGCACTGGTGGGACGTTGTCCTGCTTCACTTCACAGACACGGAGTGAAATTAGATTTTTTTAAATAACGGAACACAAATTTATATGACACTTTATTCAACAGGAAGAACAGCTCGTTCCCTGCGTCATTCGTCATTACGCCATTGCACATGCGCAGTCCTTTTAGTTTCGGTTTTCAATCCGATCAAGTGTTTACATGTTCTCTCAATCAGATTACAATAGGAGTAAACTCCCCTTTCAATCCGATTGAAATTCCAGTCGGATCGAGCTCAATCGGATCGATTAAGGTGTTTACATGAACGTTTTTTAGTCCGATTGAGCCGTCAATCCAATTATAAGGTCCATGTAAACGCAGATAATGATAGCGCCACCACCGTGTGTGTGTGTGTGTGTGTGTGTGTGTGTGTGTGTGTGTGTGTGTGTGTGTGTGTGTGTGTGTACAGTATACGAGTCAAAAGTATAAACTGTCAGTGACATGCAAATAAAAACATATAACTCTAATAACTTTAATATTTAAGAACAAGTTTTAACCTGCATAAAATATTCTCTGCAAATACATCATTTAATATATTTTTTCATGCTTTAGCTTCGATTGGAACTATTTTCATTGATCGAGCAAAAAACACAAAGTGGATCATCTCCTTTCATAAAGACCTCATCTATATTTGAAAAATAAATCGAAAGAACTACTTACCAGAGACAAAAACAACAAATCTCTTGTTTGTGTTTCCTCTGCTGCTGATGATCTGTAGTTTATATTTTCCAGTGTGTTCAGTTATCATGTCTGTGATGATCAGAGATCCAGTCTTCTCATCCAGCTTCAGTCTGCCTCTGAATCTCCCACCAGCAACATCATCATGTGTTTTTAGAGTCCCTCCTCTGATTTCAGCGATGAGAATGTCTTGATATCCAAACCTCCACTGTATCAGATCATCTTTCTGTATTTCAGTTTCAGGGTTTATGATCAGATTCTTTCCCTCTTTCACTGATATCTTCCTCTCTTCATCAGTGACAGCAGCAGATAGAAACAGAGAAACACAGAAATGTTGCCGTCAGATCAAGAGTGTGAATGTGAATCACAGCCTGAAACTACTACAGAAATATCATTCAGATGGACATGATTTACAGTCTTCTCACACAGAAAATTCATATTACTGTCTCAGTTCCAGTTTGATGAACACTGATCTGAGAAGTGCTGATCTAAATAAAAGCTGAAGGAAATACTTGTGGACTTGTTTGCAATTTGACAAGCTGTAAAGCTGAAAATAAAGAGATTCAGATGAATATCCTTTCATGTCATGATCCTGTTCTGTCTCCATATTCTGAGCTGAAGATGCTAGATCACGACAATAGACATGGGCTACTAATTATGAAAAATAAAAAATGCAAAACAAAAAATTATGTCGGGGTTATGTTTAGGGGACAGAAAAAACATTACGCCAATGGAAAGTCCTCAGTCTACGTTTATATGGACACAATCGGAATGAAATCAATACGGTTGATGAATCCGAACAAGGTGTTTACATGAATGATAAATAAAGTGATCGGGTTGATGTGCGCGTTTATATATGTCACAAGCAGGGCAGGACTTAGGGTGGGGGGGGCCCTGGGCTTGAGTCACTTTCGGGATCTTCTATACATTACTTTAAATAGAACTAAATGATACATACACAAGCTAGGCCTATGTATTAGAGCTGCACAATTCTGGATAATTGAGAATAAAAATAGAGATCACGATTCTACACAAACAACTTAACAAAATAATATAAATTATGTTAATTGCTGAAGTCTATTAAAAATGTTGAATTAATCTGAATTATATATTAAAAAAAAACTTGGGTTTGAATGATTCAATTCCTCAATCAAAAACACTTTTTTCATTTTTGACATCTCTTGAAATGAACGATTGCACATGCGCAGTCCTTTTAGTTTCATTTTTCAATCCGATCAAGTGTTTACCTGTTCTCTCGATCGGATTACAATAGGAGTAAACTCCCCTTTCAATCCGATTGACTGGTTCCAGTCGGATCGAGCTCAATCGGATCGATTAAGGTGTTTACATGAACGTTTTTTAGTCCGATTGAGCCGTCAATCCAATTATAAGGTCCATGTAAACGCAGATAATGATAGCGCCACCACCGTGTGTGTGTGTGTGTGTGTGTGTGTGTGTGTGTACAGTATACGAGTCAAAAGTATAAACTGTCAGTGACATGCAAATAAAAACATATAACTCTAATAACTTTAATATTTAAGAACAAGTTTTAACCTGAATACAATATTCTCTGCAAATACATCATTTAATATATTTTTTCATGCTTTAGCTTCGATTGGAACTATTTTCATTGATCGAGCAAAAAACACAAAGTGGATCATCTCCTTTCACAAAGACCTCATCTATATTTGAAAAATAAATCGAAAGAACTACTTACCAGAGGCAGAAACATCAAATCTCTTGTTTGTGTTTCCTCTGCTGCTGATGATCTGTAGTTTATAATCTCCAGTGTGTTCAGTTATCATGTCTGTGATGATCAGAGATCCAGTCTTCTCATCCAGCTTCAGTCTGCCTCTGAATCTCCCATCATCAGCATCATCATGTGTTTTTAGAGTCCCTCCTCTGATTTCAGCGATGAGAATGTCTCTAAACCTCCACTGTATCAGATCATCTTTCTGTATTTCAGTTTCAGGGTTTATGATCAGATTCTTTCCCTCTTTCACTGATATCTTCCTCTCTTCATCAGTGACAGCAGCAGATAGAAACAGAGAAACACAGAAATGTTGCCGTCAGATCAAGAGTGTGAATGTGAATCACAGCCTGAAACTACTACAGAAATATCATTCAGATGGACATGATTTACAGTCTTCTCACACAGAAAATTCATATTACTGTCTCAGTTCCAGTTTGATGAACACTGATCTGAGAAGTGCTGATCTAAATAAAAACTGAAGGAAATACTTGTGGACTTGTTTGCAATTTGACAAGCTGTAAAGCAGAAAATAGAGAGATTCAGATGAATATCCTTTCATGTTATGAAGGCTATATCGTTAAAACCAAGCATATCTGCTGACTCTGTTGATTTTCTCCTTGATTCTTTTAACTCAAAAGTTAAGAGTGTAATTGATGATATTGCTCCTGTGAAAGTCAGGAAGAATAGTGGCAGACAAAAAGCACCTTGGAGAAACTCAACAGCTGTGCAAAATATGAAAAGACAATGCAGAAGAGCAGAGCGCTTGTGGCAGAAGACAAAACTTGTAGTCCATTATAACATCTACAAAGACACCATCCACGCTTTCAATAGGGAACTAGGCAAAGCCAGACAGACTTTCTTCTCAAACATTATGAACAGCAATATAAACAACACACACACTCTTTTTGCTACTGTAGAGAGACTGACAAACCCCCCGAGCCAGATTACCATAGAAATGCTCTCAGAAAGGAAATGCAGTGAGTTTGCTTCTTTCTTCTCTGAGAAAATCAATAACATCAGAAAGGTGATCAGCACATCCTTGAGTTGCTCTGGGGTCAGGCAGACCAGACCACAACCTGAGAAAGTAGTCACTATGTCTGTTTTTGAAGAAATTGATGGCACAATTTTGGTAGAAACCGTACAGCACCTTAAAACAATCAACCTGCGCCCTTGACACACTTCCCACATCTTTTTTCAAAAATTTGTTAGACAGCTTAGAAGCAGATCTCCTAGAAGTGGTGAATGCTTCACTTCGCTCTGGGAGTTTTCCGAACTCCCTGAAAACTGCAGTTGTCAAGCCCCTCCTTGAAAAAGAACAATCTGGATAAGACCATCTTAAGCAACTATAGACCAATCTCAAATCTTCCTTTCATGGGCAAGATCATTGAAAAGGTTGTCTTCAATCAGCTGAACAAATTCTTAAGCTTGAATGGATATTTTGACAATTTTCAATCTGGTTTCCGATCGCATCACAGCACGGAGACAGCGCTCATAAAGATAATAAACGATATTCGCTTAAATACTGATACAGGCAAATTATCCGTGTTGGTACTACTCGACCTCAGTGCTGCATTTGACACTGTTGATCACAACATACTTCTTGACAGGCTGGAAAACTGGGTGGGGCTTTCTGGGATAGTCCTAAAATGGTTCAGGTCATACTTAGAAGGGAGAGGTTATTTTGTGAGTATGGGAGATCATAAGTCTGAGTGGACACCCATGACTTGCGGAGTCCCTCAGGGCTCGATTCTTGCGCCACTCCTATTCAACCTGTATATGCTCCCAATGAGCCAAATAATGAGAAAGAACCAAATCGCTTACCATAGCTACGCAGACGACACACAGCTCTACTTAGCCCTATCGCCAAACGACTATAGCCCCATTAACTCCCTGTGCCAATGCATTGATGAAGTAAACGGTTGGATGTGTCAACTTTCTGCAGTTAAACAAAGACAAAACTGAGGTCATTGTGTTTGGAAACAAAGATGAAGTTCTCAAGGTGAATGCATACCTTGACGCTAGGGGTCTAACAACTAAAAATCAAGTCAGGAATCTTGGTGTGTCTCTAGAGTCAGACCTTAGTTTCAATAGTCATGTCAAAGCAATAACTAAATCAGCATACTATCATCTGAAAAATATTTCAAGAATTAGATGCTTTGTTTCCAGTCAAGACTGAGAGAAACTTGTGCTTGCGTTCATCACCAGCAGGGTGGATTACTGTAATGGCCTCCTCACTGGCCTTCCTAAAAAGACCATAAGACAGTTGCAGCTCATACAGAACGCTGCTGCCAGGATTCTGAGCAGGTCCAGAAAATATGAACACATCACACAAGTCCTCAGGTCTTTACACTGGCTCCCAGTTACATTTAGGATTGATTTTAAAGTATTACTGGTATATAAATCATTTAATGGGTTAGGACCTCAATATATTGCAGATATGCTCACTGAATATAAACCCAACAGATCACTCAGATCATTAGGATCACATCAGCTAGAAATACCAAGGGTTCACTCTAAGCATGGAGAGTCTGCTTTTAGCTATTATGCCAGCCGCAGCTGGAACCAGCTTCCAGAAGAGATCAGGTGTGGTCCTACATTAGTCACATTCAAATCCAGACTCAAAACACATCTGTTTAGCTGTGCATTTACTGAATGAGCACTGTGCCACTGTTCGTCCGACTGTTACTGTACTTCATTTTATTTTTTATTCTAAACTGTTTTAATTATTCTGATTTCTTTTGATTATTTTAATTTCTTCCATGTAAAGCACTTTGAATTGCCACTGTGTATGAAATGTACTATATAAATAAACTTGCCTTGCCTTGCCTTATGACCCTGTTCTGTCTCCACATTCTGAGCTGAAGATGCTAGATCATGACAATAGACATGGGCTACTAATTATGAAAAATTTTAAAAAATGCCAAAAAAAAAAAAACATGATGTGAGGGTTATGTTTAGGGGTCAGAAAAAACATTTAGCCAATGTAAAGTCCTCATAATGATAGTGCCACCACCGTGTGTAAGTGTGTGCGTTTGTGTGTGTGTGTGTGTGTACAGTATACAGTATACGAGTCAAAAATATAAACTGTCAGTGACACGCAAATATAAACATGTAACTCTAATAACTTTAATATTTAAGAACAAGTTTTAAACTAAATAAAATATTCTCTGCAAATACATCATTTAATATATTTTTTCATGCTTTAGCTTCGATTGGAACTATTTTCATTGATCGAGCAAAAAACACAAAGTGGATCATCTCCTTTCATAAAGACCTCATCTATATTTGAACAATAAATCGAAAGAACTACTTACCAGAGACATAAACAACAAATCTCTTGTTTGTGTTTCCTCTGCTGCTGATGATCTGTAGTTTATAATCTCCAGTGTGTTTAGTTCTCATGTCTGTGATGATCAGAGATCCAGTCTTCTCATCCAGCTTCAGTCTGCCTCTGAATCTCCCATCAGCAGCATCATCATGTGTTTTTAGAGTCCCTCCACTGATTTCAGCGATGAGAATGTCTTGATATCCAAACCTCCACTGTATCAGATCATCTTTCTGTATTTCAGTTTCAGGGTTTATGATCAGATTGTTTCCCTCTTCCACTGATATCCTCTCTTCATTAGTGACAGCAGCAGATAGAAACAGAGAAACACAGAAATGTTGTCATCAGATCAAGAGTGTGAATGTGAATCACAGCCTGAAACTACTACAGAAATATCATTCAGATGCACATGATTTACAGTCTTCTCACACAGAAAATTCATATTACTGTCTCAGTTCCAGTTTGATGAACACTGATCTGAGAAGTGCTGATCTAAATAAAAACTGAAGGAAATACTTGTGGACTTGTTTGCAATTTGACAAGCTGTAAAGCAGAAAATAGAGAGATTCAGATGAATATCCTTTCATGTTATGAAGGCTATATCGTTAAAACCAAGCATATCTGCTGACTCTGTTGATTTTCTCCTTGATTCTTTTAACTCAAAAGTTAAGAGTGTAATTGATGATATTGCTCCTGTGAAAGTCAGGAAGAATAGTGGCAGACAAAAAGCACCTTGGAGAAACTCAACAGCTGTGCAAAATATGAAAAGACAATGCAGAAGAGCAGAGCGCTTGTGGCAGAAGACAAAACTTGTAGTCCATTATAACATCTACAAAGACACCATCCACGCTTTCAATAGGGAACTAGGCAAAGCCAGACAGACTTTCTTCTCAAACATTATGAACAGCAATATAAACAACACACACACTCTTTTTGCTACTGTAGAGAGACTGACAAACCCCCCGAGCCAGATTACCATAGAAATGCTCTCAGAAAGGAAATGCAGTGAGTTTGCTTCTTTCTTCTCTGAGAAAATCAATAACATCAGAAAGGTGATCAGCACATCCTTGAGTTGCTCTGGGGTCAGGCAGACCAGACCACAACCTGAGAAAGTAGTCACTATGTCTGTTTTTGAAGAAATTGATGGCACAATTTTGGTAGAAACCGTACAGCACCTTAAAACAATCAACCTGCGCCCTTGACACACTTCCCACATCTTTTTTCAAAAATTTGTTAGACAGCTTAGAAGCAGATCTCCTAGAAGTGGTGAATGCTTCACTTCGCTCTGGGAGTTTTCCGAACTCCCTGAAAACTGCAGTTGTCAAGCCCCTCCTTGAAAAAGAACAATCTGGATAAGACCATCTTAAGCAACTATAGACCAATCTCAAATCTTCCTTTCATGGGCAAGATCATTGAAAAGGTTGTCTTCAATCAGCTGAACAAATTCTTAAGCTTGAATGGATATTTTGACAATTTTCAATCTGGTTTCCGATCGCATCACAGCACGGAGACAGCGCTCATAAAGATAATAAACGATATTCGCTTAAATACTGATACAGGCAAATTATCCGTGTTGGTACTACTCGACCTCAGTGCTGCATTTGACACTGTTGATCACAACATACTTCTTGACAGGCTGGAAAACTGGGTGGGGCTTTCTGGGATAGTCCTAAAATGGTTCAGGTCATACTTAGAAGGGAGAGGTTATTTTGTGAGTATGGGAGATCATAAGTCTGAGTGGACACCCATGACTTGCGGAGTCCCTCAGGGCTCGATTCTTGCGCCACTCCTATTCAACCTGTATATGCTCCCAATGAGCCAAATAATGAGAAAGAACCAAATCGCTTACCATAGCTACGCAGACGACACACAGCTCTACTTAGCCCTATCGCCAAACGACTATAGCCCCATTAACTCCCTGTGCCAATGCATTGATGAAGTAAACGGTTGGATGTGTCAACTTTCTGCAGTTAAACAAAGACAAAACTGAGGTCATTGTGTTTGGAAACAAAGATGAAGTTCTCAAGGTGAATGCATACCTTGACGCTAGGGGTCTAACAACTAAAAATCAAGTCAGGAATCTTGGTGTGTCTCTAGAGTCAGACCTTAGTTTCAATAGTCATGTCAAAGCAATAACTAAATCAGCATACTATCATCTGAAAAATATTTCAAGAATTAGATGCTTTGTTTCCAGTCAAGACTGAGAGAAACTTGTGCTTGCGTTCATCACCAGCAGGGTGGATTACTGTAATGGCCTCCTCACTGGCCTTCCTAAAAAGACCATAAGACAGTTGCAGCTCATACAGAACGCTGCTGCCAGGATTCTGAGCAGGTCCAGAAAATATGAACACATCACACAAGTCCTCAGGTCTTTACACTGGCTCCCAGTTACATTTAGGATTGATTTTAAAGTATTACTGGTATATAAATCATTTAATGGGTTAGGACCTCAATATATTGCAGATATGCTCACTGAATATAAACCCAACAGATCACTCAGATCATTAGGATCACATCAGCTAGAAATACCAAGGGTTCACTCTAAGCATGGAGAGTCTGCTTTTAGCTATTATGCCAGCCGCAGCTGGAACCAGCTTCCAGAAGAGATCAGGTGTGGTCCTACATTAGTCACATTCAAATCCAGACTCAAAACACATCTGTTTAGCTGTGCATTTACTGAATGAGCACTGTGCCACTGTTCGTCCGACTGTTACTGTACTTCATTTTATTTTTTATTCTAAACTGTTTTAATTATTCTGATTTCTTTTGATTATTTTAATTTCTTCCATGTAAAGCACTTTGAATTGCCACTGTGTATGAAATGTACTATATAAATAAACTTGCCTTGCCTTGCCTTATGACCCTGTTCTGTCTCCACATTCTGAGCTGAAGATGCTAGATCATGACAATAGACATGGGCTACTAATTATGAAAAATTTTAAAAAATGCCAAAAAAAAAAAAACATGATGTGAGGGTTATGTTTAGGGGTCAGAAAAAACATTTAGCCAATGTAAAGTCCTCATAATGATAGTGCCACCACCGTGTGTAAGTGTGTGCGTTTGTGTGTGTGTGTGTGTGTACAGTATACAGTATACGAGTCAAAAATATAAACTGTCAGTGACACGCAAATATAAACATGTAACTCTAATAACTTTCATATTTAAGAACAAGTTTTAAACTAAATAAAATATTCTCTGCAAATACATTATTTAATATATTTTTTCATGCTTTAGCTTCGATTGGAAATATTTTCATTGATCGAGCAAAAAACACAAAGTGGATCATCTCCTTTCACAAAGACCTCATCTATATTTGAAAAATAAATAAAGAACTACTTACCAGAGACAGAAACAACAAATCTCTTGTTTGTGTCTCCTCTGCTGCTGATGATCTGTACTTTATATTCTCCAGTGAGTTCAGTTCTCATGTCTACTAATACAAACTAATACAAATGTTTAATTGGCATCTTTTTTCAAACGACCCGACCGACCGCGACCCGAATATCATTAAAAGCATTTTTGGATGACCCGTAACTGCGGGTAACCGCGGGTGACCGCAGGCACCCGCTCATTTCGGATCAACCCGCGCATCACTGTTAACTATCATAGTTTTCTTTTTTTCTTCTTTTTTTTTTACATTTTGATTCTGTTGTGCACAATGTGATATAAACAAACTAGTTATCTTGTTTACAAGCAATACAATTGCTACTGCAGAATTTCATACAGTGTTCATAATAAAATAGTTTTCAGTTCTTTTAAGGCTGGTCATTTGTCACCTGTTATAAATTTAGTATCAATATTATATTCTGGTATCGTACCGAAGCAAAAATTGCAGTACAAAGCCAACCCAATGCTGTTGCTATATCAGCTGTAATACTTACCCTTTTGTCTTTCTAGTTCAGAGATCTGTCGGCGATGGTAAATCAGACCAGCAGCAGCAGCAGCAGCGAACAACAGCAGAACAACAATAACTATTCCTGCTACAGCTCCTGAAGACAGACCTGGATCTGTAACAGCTAAAGAGAGACATTAGTGTGAATGTGTCTGATCTATAACACACACTATAAACATCAGCACTATATAACCTGAGTGAAGATCTGATACTGTAATGATAAAGACTGACATTAGTGTGAGTGTGTCTGATCTATAACACACACTATAAACATCAGCACTATATAACCTGAGTGAAGATCTGATACTGTAATGATAAAGACAGACATTAGTGTGAGTGTGTCTGATCTATAACACACACTATAAACATCAGCACTATATAACCTGAGTGTAGATCTGATACTGTAATGATAAAGACAGTCATTAGTGTGAATGTGTCTGATCTATAACACACACTATAAACATCAGCACTATATAACCTGAGTGTAGATCTGATACTGTAATGATAAAGACAGTCATTAGTGTGAGTGTGTCTGATCTATAACACACACTATAAACATCAGCACTATATAACCTGAGTGTAGATCTGATACTGTAATGATAAAGACAGTCATTAGTGTGAATGTGTCTGATCTATAACACACACTATAAACATCAGCACTATATAACCTGAGTGAAGATCTGATACTGTAATGATAAAGACTGACATTAGTGTGAGTGTGTCTGATCTATAACACACACTATAAACATCAGCACTATATAACTTGAGTGTAGATCTGATACTGTAATGATAAAGACAGACATTAGTGTGAGTGTGTCTGATCTATAACACACACTATAAACATCAGCACTATATAACTTGAGTGTAGATCTGATACTGTAATGATAAAGACAGACATTAGTGTGAGTGTGTCTGATCTATAACACACACTATAAACATCAGCACTATATAACCTGAGTGAAGATCTGATACTGTAATGATAAAGACAGACATTAGTGTGAGTGTGTCTGATCTATAACACACACTATAAACATCAGCACTATATAACCTGAGTGAAGATCTGATACTGTAATGATAAAGACAGACATTAGTGTGATTGTGTCTGATCTATAACACACACTATAAACATCAGCACTATATAACCTGAGTGTAGATCTGATACTGTAATGATAAAGACAGACATTAGTGTGAGTGTGTCTGATCTATAACACACACTATAAACATCAGCACTATATAACCTGAGTGAAGATCTGATACTGTAATGATAAAGACAGACATTAGTGTGATTGTGTCTGATCTATAACACACACTATAAACATCAGCACTATATAACCTGAGTGTAGATCTGATACTGTAATGATAAAGACAGACATTAGTGTGAGTGTGTCTGATCTATAACACACACTATAAACATCAGCACTATATAACCTGAGTGTAGATCTGATACTGTAATGATAAACACAGACATTAGTGTGAGTGTGTCTGATCTATAACACACACTATAAACATCAGCACTATATAACCTGAGTGTAGATCTGATACTGTAATGATAAAGACAGACATTAGTGTGAATGTGTCTGATCTATAACACACACTATAAACATCAGCACTATATAACCTGAGTGTAGATCTGGGTGTATTTAGTGAGTAAATATATGCCAATAACTGTGATAATTACATATAAACATTAAAATAACATTTAATATTAATTATAGGGTGTATTCACACCAGGAAAGTCCGATAGTTCACTTGCTTTGGTCCGGACCAAATAAATTATTATTTTTTTTTTTTTTGGTACGGTTCGCTATCACACTGCTCTTTTTGCAAGTGAACCAAAATTTGTAAACAAAACCACACGTGTGCTAAGGTCGTCCATTCATTGGACAAGGATTCTCAAGGGAAATCAAGAAGTGCAAAAACGGCTCAGCATGGAGATATTTCCCTATATTTCGTACTGCAATATTTGTTCTTTTACTAATTTTGTGTTAAAGGTGCAATGTGTAACAAAGTTGAGTATCTATTAACAGAAATGCAATATGACATCCATAACTATGTTTTCAGTGGTGTATAAAGAACTTACTTAATTAGCCGTAATGTTTTTATTACCTTAGAATGAGACATTAATAGCTCCATAACCGAGGGAATCCCCTTCTATGAAGGTCGCCATGTTGTGACGTCATATTCCTACCGTAGCCGAACGCGAACAAACAGCGCTACAGAACGCGTTTCATCACTACCTTGAAAGAGAAGTAGCGGAAAGCTGGAAGCTAGCCTTACACTCCGTGAGTAGTGACTTTTCCCTTGTGAGTGGTGTAAAATATGTAGTTGGGATTGTTTCATGTAACTTAGTTATCCCTCGCTGTGTTATGGGTTTGTTATGTTGGGGATAGATGTGCTGTTACGTTCGTGAGACAGCTGATGATTAGTATTCATGTCATTGACCGTAAAACAGTACGTTACAGGAATCACTAACCCATCGATAGAGACTTTTACTAAAGTCTTTTATCACTAAAGTCGATCGCGAAGAATTTTAAAAATCAGAGAAAAAAAGCCTATTGTGTGTAGTAAATAGTATCTATGGGATGCGGAGATGACATGATTGTAATAGCGCGCGCACACTTCCGACCTTTGGACTCATGAGTTTCATGCGGACGAGTCCCAGCTCAGCCACAGTAACAGCTCATATTAGCCAGCTAAACTATTACTACCCTGTTAGAAAAAATATATAGCTGCTCCCTCGCTGTATTATGGGTTTGCTACAGTATGTGGGGATAAATGTGCTGCTGGTTACGTTTGTGAGACAATCAGCTGATTATTATTTTATTAAATTATATATTAAAACCCTTGATCCTCACCTGACTATGGCTTTGTAAACAGACAGTATTCATGATGTGGTTTATAATGGACTGTGGTACAGAAACAGTGACAATGTTACACACTCTTGGCTTACTCTGGCTATTCTCTGCTGTCTCAGCCGACGAGATGTTTGTCCCGTTTTAGCAACCGTAGCTTCTTCGAAAGGGAGGGGTGAGCAGTGGGCGGAGCCCTTAGTGCAAACCTGGTGCAAACTCGCAACCGAACCACTAGATGTCGCTAAAAGTCACACATTGCTCCTTTAATTCTGTACAAACGCAATATGAATAAACTAATGAGTATCTGATGCAATGTCATCTATACGATGTTGTAATTCGGATTTTGAGAAGACGACGAGTGTAAAGTTTAAGTGGTTCTATTAAACGCGGGGAAATATGACAACTCTCGTCTCTCGTGCATCTTTTCATTCGACCATCTACTGTTTTTTTGTTTTGTTTTTATCTCTGGGCAACATCTCAACTTTGCGTTACAAGTGGCACTGCACAGAAGACGGATAAGGTATAAAGTTTTCATTCATGGAGAGAGGGGCTATGTTCACACATTCAAATAATGAGATTCTTATTGTGTACTAACAAGTGCTGTCAATGTTAACGCTTGCGATTCAGTTTGTCCAGTTTAACGTAAATTAACGCATCATCATCCTTGTATTGTAACTTACATCAATAATAATAATAATAATATTAATAATTAATAACTACATTTATATAGAACGTTTCTCGGCACTCGCTTTACATAGAAGGGGGAATCTTGTCAACCACCACCAAAAGGTGGTGAACTGCAAATTAAATTTTTTTTTTTTTTTTGCATCTCTGCGCGATTAGACTAAAGAGAACGCTCTGTATGTGAAATTCCTGATGCACGCACTTATACATTCATTCATTCCAATGATGCACACACGACGCGCAGAAAGACGCGCAGCAGTATCGTGTGGCCAGACAGCGCGCCGGAATATTATCTTTCGATGCAGTGCTTTCTTGCAATTGGGTCGGTTTATGTTCACACCGTAAACGAACCGTACCAGAGTTCGTTTGGAACCGTACCGAGACCACCTCTTCAGCTGGGTCTCGGTTCGGTTGTTTGGTCCGCACCCGAGTTCGATTGCTGTATTCACACCTGCCCAAGGGGGCAAACGAACTAGAGTTCGATTCAATCGAACCAAACAAGGCAGGTGTGAATACACCCCCATAGTGTCATCTGAATTATTTATAGACAGTGGTGGAAAGAGTACTGAAAAAACATACTCAAGTAAAAGTACCATTACATTCGAAAAAATGTAGTGTGTGTGAGTAGAGTAAAAAGTACATGTCCAAAAAACTACTTGAGTAAGAGTAAAAAAGTAGCTTATTTAAAAGTACTCAAGAGTAGTGAGTAGTGAGTACTGAGGTGCGGATTCTAACCCTTATAATATACACTGTGCACTACAATTTATTAATTAAAAAAAATGCACATACTGGAATTCACATTATATTTTGTTCTTTGTAAGAAAGATTGAAGAATATCTATCATCCATCTTTTTAAAATGCATCAAATCAGTACACTCATCACCATTTAAATTATATTATTTGGGGGGAAAAGCATTTAAAATTAGGCGAAAAACCACTGGGCCTGAGCATGTTATTGTTGCACATAAAATATCAATATTCATAACTGCTCAAATAATTAAAAAACCTTTAGAAACTCATATGATAGTTCAGCATCACACACCAAGAGATGGGTTAAATAAAATAAAAAAAAATACCCAATTTCTCTCCAAAATGGTACCAATGTTAGTCTTTTGATAAATGAGAATCACTAATATTATCATATTACCTCAACTAATGCACTGAAAAAGGCTAAGATAGTGAGCTAACACTAATTACACACTTTTATTCCATGCTATTAAATATGTTACAATTTAAACGTAAATGCATTGTTCTAGAAGGGTGGCATCATCCCTTACATTTTACACAGCTACATTTACTCACATTGTAATGCTGATAATATAATTTGTAAGGAAAATTGTGCATTAGGGAAGTTATATCCAGGAAACTTTTACAAAAGAAACAAACACATTTTGTCTCTGAAGTCTCTGCGAAGCTGTTTTATCAGCAGCATCCGCAAAAAAAAAAAAGAGGAATTAGAGGAATTAGAGGAAGACGCTGATATCTGGATTGAATTGATGCGTGATGAAAGCGCAGCACATCCACAGCAGTCACGAGTAACAGCAGGAATAGGCGGTTAAAGTTTTCAATGCTTAATTTGAATTGATAACAGTCACGAGACCGATTACTCGATCCAATCACGTTGATGGATAAAAATAAAATTAAAACAAGCATGTAACGAGTAACGGCCACAAACAGAAGGAAAATAGCGGAGAAAAAGTACCGATACATCACTTAAAATGTACTCAAGTAAAAGTAAAATTACACAATTTTAAACTTACTCAAAAAAGTACAATTTCTGAAAAAAACTACTTAATTACAGTAACGTGAGTATTTGTAATTTGTTACTTTACACCCCTGTTTATAGACAACCGATAAAAAACTGATAAAGACTCACCACTGACAGTAACAATGAATCTCTTGTATAGGGTCTGTTTGTTGCTGTTGATCTTCAATGTATATTCTCCAGAGTCTGTGGTTCTGGTGTGTATGATGGTCAGAGATCCCGTCTGATGATCCAGCTGTAGTCTGTCTCTGAATCTCTCATCAGTGTTGAGTAATGGTGAGCTCTTGACTACATCATATTTAGCTATGAGTTTTCCTTCATCTCCAAACCTCCACACTATCAGCTCATCTCCGTTTGTTTCAGTAACATCAGTCTGAAGAGTGACAGAGTTTCCCTCCATCACTGACATACTCTTCATTTCAGCTTCACCAACATGAACAGATGGAGACTCTGCAAGAAACAGATTCACAGACACACAGATTAAACATGTTGAACACTGTGACTGGCACTAGAATATCAGTTTATATGGTTAATACACAAGGCATATGCAGATTGATAAAGGTAATCAGTTTAGCATGTACAACAGTTACTTTTGGTTGACTAATGATGTGTCGTTTCATAAAAGAGCACAGGAACATTTCACTATTTGAAACACTACAGTTGTATGTGTTCAGTAGATAGAATTACAACGTATAATTCTATACAATTGATCCTGCTTTGAATTATTTCAACTATTACCAATGGAATAAAACTAAAAATATCTGAGCAAATTGTGTGTAAAATGTAAGTCTATCAATACGGATTTGTTTCTAAAACTATAGTATATTAGCGGTATTACACTCGTGCTGATCATATGCGTGAGATATTCAGAACAACAGCATGACTGTGATATCAATAAACTACAATTATGTAAGACTGTTGAACACATAAGTAATATTTGCTGGTGAAATCTCAGCTTAATTCAGTTTAATTCATAAAACAAAACAAAAAATGAAAACATCTAACTATAGTTAGATGTTTACTAACTCTAGTTATTGATAGTATTGATAGTATTCTCACCAGAGACAGTAACATTGAATGTCAATGTATGTGAGGACCCAGATTTGAGGTCGCTCTCTAGTTGATAAAGTCCAGAGTGTTTGGTTCTCATGTTGTTGATAGTCAGAGATCCAGTCTGATCCATCTGCAGTTTCCCTCTGAATATGTCAATGTGACTGGAGTTGGGATTGGGATATGAGATCTCCTTTCTATCCATTTGAGCGATAGTGGAACCTGACTCTCCAAACCTCCACAGTGTCACAATTATTTCCTGTGTTTCAGTAAGACCAGTGTTTAGTGTGACAGATTCTCCCTCCATCACTGTCTTCACTTCATCTGCTTCAGCAACACACACTCCTGCAGAACAAACAGAAACAGTCTCAGAGATTAAACTCATTTAACACTGCTGCTGATATAAAAAAAAAAAAACATAGTTACTGAGAATAGGCTTGCACAATAAGTACAATTTGACTAATTAAAGGGCCCCTATTATGCTCATTTACAGCTTTATAATTTGGTTTATGGGGTCTACCAGAATGTTTACTTCATTTAAATGTTAAAAAAAACTGGTTTATTTTTTGTTTCTTTTCAGAATCTGCTCTGCTTGGTCAGTCAGTCCGAGTCTGTTGAGATTTGTGACTTTAGTTTGGGTTTATCAGCTTGTTCTTGTCTGTCATTGTTAGACTCTGACTCAAACTGATACACAAAACTGACGCCATAGTTACAGGGTCGTTCCTTTCCAAATATCAGAAACTTCGACTACATTTTTTTTTCCTGAAGAAAGACAGAGATCAATAGTGATTGAAGCCAAAATATGAAATGTCAGGAATGTATATTTACTGATTAATCCATTATTTTGTGGAGAGGGGTCAAAATGACAATTTTCACCTGAGATTCTGAGCCAAATTACAGAGACTATTAAAAATGACTTTAAAAAGATAGCAGCATCATTTTATTTTTTTTACACAGAAATTGGTAGGTCTGTTAGTGAAATCTGTTGACTTATCATTTTTTCTTGCATTATATACCAACAGTGACAATTTAAAAATGGGTAGAAGAACTTTTAATGGTTTCAAAACTCTAGACCACATAGATGTGATTTTGAGAACTTGTACAATCAATATTCTTGTACACTAAACTTTACACTCCCAGCTCCAATGTGAGAACCTGTCAAATAAAAATCTGAAGTTGAATTTGCACTCGCAACAATAGTCACAAATGTGTAAAATGCCATTTACTGAAATACGATGGCAAAGACAACCTTGAAATATGCATTTGCATTTATTCGTACATTCACTTTTGCAGTACAACCTCAATTAGGCACTTGCATCTTCTCAACTCAGTGGCGGCGGGAGAAAAAAAAAGAGGGGGGGGGGGTTAAAAAAAATTAGCCGTTTTATTGGTCAATGAAATGTGACTTCTATTATACATGATGATATCACGAAACCCGCGTCCTCGGGGACGTAACATGGCTTAATGCATAGACTGATATTATGAGGTAAACGCCATACTTATAATAATATATACAGATAGCAGATGAATCCAGAATGTAAATGGAATGAGTTTAATTTAGACAACAATTTTAATTAAAAGACCAAACTCAGGAAACACCATACTAATAAAGTGTACAGAAAAAAATGAACAAAATTGAACGCATCGCGTTTAAATGTATTCTTCCCATAGAAAACGCTTAATTTACATTTATTAATTTAGCATATGCTTTTATCCAAATACTTACAAATGAGAACATGCAGTTAAACTGACAATAGGACAACAATATGCAAGTGCTATGACCCTTCCCAGTTTAATCGAACACAGTAGGTAGGCCCTACATATAGTTTTTATTTTTTTTAATGAGGCTTAATGTACAAACAGTTATAAAAATAAATAAACATACACAATTTGTTATACATTATTAATAAAACACTGCCTGTGTAAAAATGCTGCAGGTTTATTTCCTTTTTTTCGTCACATTCTTGGCTCATCTGCTTTTCTGTACATAGGCTATGCTTAGTTGATCAGTAAGCCTATGGTGCTTGCTGATAATATTATTTAGTTTGATAATATCATTTATTTATGTGGGTTGTGGGTTGTCTACAAACCGAAAGGTTGGTGGTTCAATCCTCGGTTCCACCTGATCAAATGTCGAGGTGTCCATGAGCAAGACACCTAACCCCAGCTGCTCCTGACGAGCTGGATGGCGCCTTGCATGGCTGACACCGCCGTTGTTGTGTGAATGAGTGTATGAGTGGGTGAATGTGAGGCAAATGCAAAAGCGCTTTGGTGGCCATTAGGTCTATGAAAGCGCTATATAAATGCAGTCCATTTACCACTTATTTTAATGTCAGTCTAAAGCATTAAGCTACGTCAAAGAGTATAGAATGCAAATAATACGTTTAATCGGAGTAGCGATTGTCTAGTCACTCTAGTGGTTTGGTGTTCATTTCTCATCCGGTGTTCTGACATTCCATCCTACCCGTCAGATTGTCCTACCAAGTCTTACTGCGCATGCGCACATCAATAATACGTCATTTTTGTCACGCTGAACAACACGCCCATAATATTTTACTACTTGCGCGAGATCTTTTTTCACTATTTATGTCAATTATTGCTATACAAAGATATAATAGCAGTAATGAGAACTGTTTACTCTCACATTAAATTGATGAATTGGCGGCGAATTGATTTGATTGTTTGGTGTAAAATATAAACACACACACGATTATACTACTCGTTTATTTCATACTGGTAGGACAATCTGATGAGGTATTTTGCAACGTAAAATCATCCTACCGTTTATTTCATAGGACAATCTGAAGAGGTAACTTACTTTTCACTGTAAAATCACCGTAACATAGCCTAATAAGAAAATTCGGCAAAGTTACACTGAAATATTTTATGTACTAGTCACAGACGGGAAGTAAACGCTCAGTAGGATTTTACGACGAGGTAGGATGAACCGATAGATATGGCTATAATTTTGCGCTACGGTAGGAAAATCTGACAAGGTAGGACAGATCGACAGAACACCGGCTTGGGGGAACTAGCAACCGGAATCCATTATCTATATCTAAACTAGTTTTTTTCTTTCTTTTTTTCACGCATACAGAATGCAAAAACTGCTTTAACCGATAATTAATTTTATCCTTAAACAGGAGGGCATGTCTAAAGTCATTTAAATACATGTGATTATTTTCATAAGGTACGTTAATGAAGTTCAGGAAGAAGACAACAGTCAATGAAAGATGTTCTTGTTGCCAAAGCGAAACAGAAAGTGTTCAAAATAAACTGAAATAGAGCACTTACCACATATTAGTAGAACAATCTGAAAGAATTTGAAGGTCTTCTTCATACTGTTGCAGATTTAAACGAAACCTAATTTCGACTGTTTTTAATATTCGTAACTTAGTTTGTTTGTTTCAGAACCACACCCTACCGAATGAAGTCGACGATTGTTAACCCTACTAAATACCAACAGAAAGATTTTTATACCGTCTGTGGCTGATTAAATAATTTACACCATGATGTTTAACCAACTAAAGAAGTGCGTTTACCGTTACTTTTCCAAATTTGGAAAATAAAGCGCAGAAGACCGCAATGGCGGAGAATCTAACGGTTTTCTTCTTTACAGTGGATCACAAACTAAAAACGAGCATTACCGCCACCTGCCGTTTGCAGATTATCTTTTTCTTCTTTGTACAGTCAGAGGAAGTGCTTTGGTACAGTGCTGCCACCCAGTTTTGAGGACTTGGGCTCTTCTTCTTATTATTATTGTTTTAATGGCGGTTGGCAAACAACTTTTAAGGTGCATTACCGCCACCCAGTTAAAATGGAGTGTGAATCACAATAGCATACTCTAAATAAATAAATAAATAAATAAATAGCTACAATTACTCATAATAAAACACTATAATTCACAACATTACTAATACAATTTTAATAAAAACTAATTTCATAACCTATTGATTGGCCCAGTTTTCTCCAAAAACCTTATATTTCTCTATACCCCACATGCCCTTAATTCAGTTGTAATATTTCTTTCATTTCAAATTAATTTTTTTCTTTACGTAGTCTATCTTTCAGAATCATCCTTTCCTGTTTACTGATGACAACTAATAATTAAATGTTCTAAAGTTTCAACTTCGACTTGACAGAGACGCGAGTGTTTCATGTAGGCCTACCCCACATGGAAAGAACCTATACTCTTAAAAATGCTGGGTTGTGGACTGGAGGAGATGCGCATGCGCAGCGGACGGTAATGGCTGCTTAATATCGACGCTCTCCCTCAGTTGTCTTTTTTTCGGATTTATCTATCCCTACTAAGTTTTTGGCCGAATTTTATGTAAATTCCTTGTTTTAGTGGCACTCTAGATGGCATCCAAACGAGATTTAATCCACTCCCCGGCAAAGAAAAGGTATAAAGACGACGAGCACCTTCACGACGCCATTGCCGAAATGCTGGATAAAGCCTAGTTCACACTACATGATTTTAAAATGTCGGGCTGAACTGTGCAGTTTACACTACATGACTTGCTCTCAGTGAAATCATGAGTGTTCAAGTTGTTTAGCTGTTCACACCACACAACACAACGTGATTGATCCACAACAGGAGGTAACTCACTACACGAGTTAACAACACACTACATAGAGATACAACCACGATCGGATGATAAGAGCATATCATTTGTGACTCAATGAGAGCTGTTTCAGTACTATAATACGGTCTAAATCCTGAAAATAATCAAACAAATAACGAGTTGACAACAACACGATTCTATCATGTCTAGAAACCATGTTTTGTAACGAAAAACCACGCAATAAAACGAACCAGAAATGACGCGAAACTGCAGAGAAGAACACAACACGCGAATATGGACGTCAGACAGAAACTAGTGCTGCACACTGTTTGCTCGACGATCTGCTCTGAGAAAAAAAATGCAAAAAAGAAAAAGTAAGATTTACCTGGTGTCCTCAACCCATGCGTTGCTATGATTGGCTGTACTCATGACATCACTGAGATTGAGTCGCGCGACTGGGCGAGATATCTAGCATGCTAGATATTTTTCTGAGCTCGGTGACCTGTCTGCGAGCTGTCTGCGAGCTGTCTTTGATGCGTTGTTGGCTCTTTCACACTAACTGATTGGCGAGCGTTAATCGTCCGCTAATCGCCCGCGATTTGCACGCGATAACACCCTGACTTGTCGGCGACTCAACGATTTGCAAATCGGGCTTAAATCGGGCTTAAAATCACGTAGTGTGAACTAGGCTTAAGCAACTGAGCGCCATAAAACTCAGTATGTCGACGATTGTTCGCGAGGAAATATCGACGATTACGGCACGATTGGAATCGCTGGAAAAGGATGTCAAATCGTTCGGCAAAAGATGTGACAACATCCAGGCTACGGTGCGGGATGTTAAAAGGGACTCGATTGCTAGACTTGCCTAGAGGAGCTCCAGGAGAAACTATCTTTATGAAGATAAATCCAGACAAAATAACCTAAGGTTGGTGGGCCTGTGGGAAGGAGCTGAAGGAGGGGATGCAATTCAGTTCTTGCAGACCCATATTCCCAAGTGGATTCCAGCTCTACAAGGGAAGACGATCGAGATTGAACGGGCGCACCGCCTCTACGCGAACGAGGATCCCTCCAGGAATAGAGCGCGCACTTTGATTTTCAAACTCCTTCGTTACAATGACCGACAGGCGATCCTACAGGGAGCCAGAAGTGCACCGTCTCTGAGTTATGAAGGGGGTAATTTAAGGTTCTATCCTGACTTCAGCCAGGGAACGTCCAAAAAAAGGAAAGCTATGGCCGAAGGGAGGAAACGCCTCCAGCAACTAGGCATCGAGTCATTTCTGCTTTACCCTGCTTCGGTCAAAGTATGTAACGGTCAGGAGCAATTGTTCTTCAAAACCCCCGGAGACCTGGACCGTTTTATCGCGTCTCTGCGTGCCACTACGGAAATGGACATCACCGTGCCTACAGGGATGCCTGATGAGTAAATTCGGCCTTCTTTGTTTTGTATTATGGCACTTTGAGTAGGGATATAGGTTTAATTTTCGCTGTGATGGACACTCAGGTGAGAGTTGCTGATGCTTGAGTAACTGTTGCCACTTATAGTCCGAGTGCATGCCCTCGACTAAATTTGCTTTCCAGGCAGATAAGAGAGTGCGTTCTTCCTCTCTGCAAGCTGCCGATAGTAACTTGATTTTTGTTTTTCTATTGTATTTAACCATTAACGTTGTAATGTTAGAACTACCAGGGTTTGCCGTTTTTGTTGTACTTTTTGTGTTGTTTTGGGGTGAAATTATTATTGATGCGTTCGGTTTCTATAGCTACCTCTGCCTTATGTATAATTATATTGTGACAGAATGAGGGACTTTAATGTGATATCGTGGAATGTCAATGGTCTAAATTCTCCCGTGAAAAGATCCAAATGCCTAGATTAGGCCACCCTTAAAAATATTCTTGTTTGCCGTAACCCGACCGACCCTGTCAATTTAGGGCCGACCCAATTTTTTATTTTTTTTTTATTTTAGTCCGACCGACTTGCCGGTTGTAACTTGCGTTCAGACCGACCGATTTTTTTTTTTTTTTACTCTTCAAACGACTAATTCAAATTCAATAAAATAATATTAATTATATTTTAGTTAGACTTGTAAAAGTTGTTTGTGTCTACATAGCCTACACACGTAGGCTACGTTCTTTCTTAAATAAAAACCCGTGGCGTCATAGTCATCAGATTATGTTTACACCATTGGTTTAACGTTAAGCGTGTCACTATATGGCTTGTACGTTCGCTCGTTTCAGTGTTCCCGCTTGGTACCCGGTATTAAAAGGGCAACGGGGCTGAATATCAACCATTTCTATATATAATAAAAATATTAAACAATTTGTCTGTGATGCAGTTTTGCTATTCGCAGTCCAGAAGAGCTATCTCCCGGAGCCACAGCGCGCACAGCACGACAGCCCTGCTTAATGAGTGACAATGAGGACAAAACGTGGTTACACTTTAGATCTGGGATATTATTCTAATTGTATTTTAGATTTCCGCTTTCAAAGATTATAAAAAGAAGATATTTGAGATGAAACCATTACAGACTGTCTAGCGCAACTTCCTTCCCTTCACAGCGTTGCGCTGTCATTTCTTCCTAAAACGTACCGTCAGAATCAGCACGATCGGTGATTGTTGTAAAATGCAGTCTGTACTGTTGCTAAACTGCGGACGCGTTCAATCATTAAAAGAGCTATTAAAAGCACAAAAGTCTGCGCAAGAGAAGTTGTTCACGACGCGCGCTCCGAAATGCACTAAAACGAGACAAGAAAAGTAGGCTATCGCCTCATTTTGGGCTTCATGTGCGCATCTAAACCATCAAATATACATAAAATATAAAATGACCTGCTCTGAGATTCATTTAAACACAGTTTATGTCTTAATTGGACGTAAGTTGGGAGAAAATAATGGTGCATCAGTCATCTATTACAGTAGAGTTCTGCATTCGGTCTTTAAGGGGCAGTAGTCTAATAAACGTGACGATTGAGCCAATGCGAATCAAACAACAAAAGGCAGATAAAAATCACTCACAGCTCTTGAATGAATAACTTAAACTTTAATAAGCATTAATCTAACTATGATAAACTATGCAGTGTCATTTTACATTTGATTAGCCTACTAGCTAAATTAAATTTCTTTTCAGAGAGAGCGACAGACTTAACTGAAAAGCTAATTTTAGACCTTCCTGAAATTAAAGCACTGTGTATATAGGCTAATTTGTATCTTTGTTTAATTGTATTCTTTGTTTGACCATGTGTTTGTACTTGTTTTTGCTGATCTCATGTATATATGCATAACAAATAGATATTTTATACATTTTGTGACTAGCCAATGTAACTGGTCTTATTTTGCATTAACACCTAGCGGTGGATGCACAGTTTGAAGACCCAGTCAGTGACGTCACAATATGCATTTTTTTTTTTAAATTCACGATCACCATCTCCAAAATTGTACCTTTTTTTTTTACACTGAATCTTGGAAAAAAAAATATAGACCTACCTACCGACCCTTTTTTTAAAAAAAATTGCTGTTACTGCAAACCAAAATATTTTTAAGGATGGCCTTATCTCCATCGCAAACGAGCTGACATGGTCCTAATACAAGAATCCCACCTCAAGGCTCCTGATGTTACTCGCTTTCAGAATAGACATTTTAAAGTGATAGCTTTTTCATCATATAATAGTGCATCAAGAGGAGTTATTATTCTTCAGAACAGAAAATTCCCGTTTCTAATAGAGAAATCGGGTGGGGATGAAAATGGGCGGTTTACATATGTGTCAGGTTCATGGAATAATTTGAAAATGGTTCTCTTCTCAGTATACTCCCCTAATAACTATGATGCAGATTTTTTTCCATCTCTTACCAAATCCCTCCTTAATTTTGCTGACTACAAACTGGTCGTAGGAATAGATGCTAATGCAGTTTGTAATCCATTAATCGATAGATCCCTTGTCTCTGTTCATGGTGATCAGGCTTCGCAGTCGTTAAACGATCTCTTTGCTGATAACGACTTATGTGATATCTGGAGAGTGAAGAATGAGAGCGGTAGAGATTATACTTTTTATTCTGCACGCCATAAAT